CGCGTTTGTGGCGCGCATAGACGTCTGACGCAATAACGATCAAACACAATGATCGTTAGCGCGGCGCAATCGCTGTCACTACGGCTGACGAACTGTCTATCTATCGTGGCTTATTTGTCATTGATTGCGTCGTGATCAAAACAGTCCCTCATTATCTTGGAGAAGCGCGTGCGTATATTTACACACACACACACATAATATACGTGTGTATACAGGGTGTCTGATAATGACCGTCATCATCTCTCGCGAGCAATTAAAGCGGGCTGTGCCCGAGTTGAAAAATCCTTTGCCGTTTTGCGAGTTTCGCAATAATTAACGAGTTAATTTATAAACATCCGCGAATAATCGTTCCTGCGCGAAGAGACGAGCGTTTCGAATTGTTAGGACCGAAATAAATAATCAAGCAAATAATTATTAAATAAATAGTTTTTTTTACGATTTTAATCGCGAAATAAATAAAACGAATTTATAAAACTCGTGAAAATGTTCAACTAACAATAAATATTAGGGTACGAGCCAATATGCTGGATGTGCAAATATATTTTTTTTATATGTGTAACTGTATATATATGTATTTTTCAAATGTCTTTGACTTAAATTTAATTCGAATCTTCAGATATTAATTTACACATTTCAGATATAAAAAGTAAGTGAAGATAATAGGACTTTGAGAGTCATACGCTAGATATATGTGCGAAATATACTTTTTGCACGTAAATTAATACACATAGAAAACAATTCTAAAATTATAAGATGTATAAAATGCTTTGTATCACTTTGCTTTGTAGCATATAGCTCGAAGTCTTATCCTAATATTTTTTTTATTTAGTTTATATTTACCAGAGCCGTATATACTTACAACTTCGTTGAAAAAAATATACGGATATGTTTGTACGTGCATCCAGTATATTGGCGAATCGTATCGATCCTAATACTTAGTTAAATAATTAGAATATTATTTAATAATTATTTATTACGATCAAAACCCAAGCTCCTCTCATTGTGTCGCTGCACGCGCGCGCCTATCTTTATCCTCTCCCTTACATCTCGTTCCTCGGTAACATTGAGAAGCGTCGTCATATTTTGAGTCGGCACTCCGTGAATGCCGACATTGCTCCGCGGGGTGCATGTAGCAGATAATGGAAACGTCACTCTCTGAACGTTGCAGTGTTATCTCCCGCGCAAATGTTATCTCTATATAACTCCATGCTGCGGATAATGGTGTCGGGGCGTGGGGGCGAGGAAGGCGGAGGTGAAGAGGGGAGTGGTACAACGATTAAAACGATTAACGGGAAAAACAAACGGCAGGACGGGAAGTCGCGTCCGTATTTATCACGATTATAACGATTATCGCGCGGCCGAGAGAGATCGTACGTGTGTGCCGATTGTCACGTGGTTACGTGTGCACCTTTCACGTGGGGCGATCCTTTAAATTGCGGTTCTCTGCGCACGCTTTAATGAGATATCTATTTGACTTAATGCGACGCCATCAAGGCGACGCTAAGATGGCCGCGTGCAAACGTTTGCGGTATTAATTCCCGCAGCGATTATACCCTCTCGTAAGTGATGCTAATTCGAATCCGCTATCAATGTAATTGAAGGGGCTCGACTTCGAAGGTGACGCGACGCGCATGTGCCGATATTACGAAAATATCCCATTTGCTTTCGAGTTTGTCACGAGGTAGTGTGAATTAATAAAACTATGAGAAATGTACTAAATACATAAATAAATAACTAAATAACAAATATAAATAAAAACTAAATAAATAACTAGAACTTTTAACTGTAAGATTAAAAACCGGATTGAAATGTCACAGTACTCGCCAACACACAGAGAAACGAAACAAAGCATGCTCGTCTTACAAGCCATATAATATAAATATAATGAGAGGTATTAAAAATAAAAAGCATGAGAAAATTAAACTTGAAAAATAGTGAGAGGGAGAAGTGGAAAAACACGTGACAGAGAGGAGTGGAAAAACAACACGTGACTAAAGTAAAGTTTCATTTCTTCTTCTTTTTATTTTTTGAGTTTGATTTTCATGCGCTATTTCTGACATCTTTCATATGTGTATTATATAGTTTGTAAGACGGTCATGCTTTGTTCCGTTTCTCCGTGTGTTGGCGAGTACTGTGACATTTAAATCTGGTTTTTAAAGACATCTGACTAAAGTAAATAGATTTCTGTAAAATTCGCATAACAACTCGCCTCGCGTAGAAGAAGAGACGAGAGGATGCACTCACAACTCTTTTCTTCTAAAAGTAAGACTATGAATGTTTTTCATTGCAATAATGCTTCGCAAAATGGAGAGAGAGAGAGAGAGACATTCTGTGCAAAAGTTTTTTTTGCACGGATTGCACATTTCTTCAAGAGTTTATCGAAACTGCTCGCGAACTTGTTGCCCGTTTGTTTTTTTTCTTTCTGTCGTTGCTCGATATACAGAAGTCGATACCAATTAACCCAAGACTGTTTATCGTTATGTCGGGAGAGATGTCCGTATCGGAGTGGCGGCGGTCTTATGTAATCGAGATCGCGCTATGTAACAGACGCATGTACCGACGACGCATATCTATGGTCAACCCCGAGCCGCCCGGGTAATGGCGAATGTCACCGGGATTCACCCCTCGATCGTCGCTGCTTCTCCGGATGGAATTGCTCGACGTTATTGTAATTTCGCGAGGAAAACAAGCAATTTGACTAGTCGCTCGAAAACGAAGCTTTCCAAAATACTGAAACGTTTTGGAATTAACACATCGGAATTCCGGATTACAAATCGGGAATTTGTTTTCTACTGGTGGTATTAATTACTTTTGTGCGATATAATTAAATTGTTTTACTGTATATAGTAAATAATTCTTTTGAATAATTTGAAAATCCTGTCAATTCTTTCCGTAAAATTTGTTTCACTCAAGATGAGGTAACACCTTCACTGCGAGAGCGACAGTTGAAAAAGTTTTCTCGGAGAAATGTTTTGAATAAGAAGAATTCTTCTTTCATCGAAGAAAATATCGTATCGTCTCTTTTGTTCAATGGTAGCTTTGAACTCGACCAAGCTGCCTTCAGACTTATTACCGTAAATATTCATTGTACCATTATGCTATTGAATATTTATCATTTTGAATTCACATTTTACAAAGAAAATGTATGTATTTATAATATCATTTTCAAGTGCAATACATATACGTAAATAAGAAATAAAAACAGGAGTAACAAAAGTTGTAGATCTAATAGACGAAACTACTGCTAGTAGTCGGATGTTCGGATGTGTCTTGAGATTTACAAAACTAAAAGTAAAAGAAAAACTGACCAAAGAGAAAATAAATAAAAGAACAAGAAAAGAAATTTGTTAATTAAAATGAGCAAGTATGAATATATCAAAATATATTTTGACGAAGTGAAAGTAGATTGGGCCAAACTGAATCAAAAAATTATTAGTTTGCAAACTTCGCAATATATGTATTAAATTATTAATTAATGAATGTGAGCCAATGAGCGCGTAAGAAGCGATGGTGCGGATACTCTATATTATTTTTAATTGTAAAAATCCGAAATTAAAAAATCCAAAATCCATATAATAATAAAATGCAACAGCATACTCTTTTTTTATAAAAGCTGCAATCTTTATCTTCAACTTAAGCACTTTTTTCAATTCGATCAATTTCTTGGAAAGCTACGATTTTGTAAACGAAACTACACATTTCGAGGTACTACACTCGAGTTACTTTGTTTATTAAAAAATTATTTAAACTTAAAAGTAAGTTTTTCTAAAATATTTTGATTGATCTATAAAGTAGAAAGTTTGAAGATTTACATAAATTTTTTCAGAATCTTTCTATAACCGTAACATAAAGAAAAATACAGTGAGACATAAAAAAACTCTGGTTTGCGGATAAAAGATGTCAAAAAACCGTTTGAAGGATAAAATATATAATAAATGTATATTGTTATAATTACTCAAATGGTCGTAACGTGAGACTTAAATCGCAGCTTCTGACTTCTACATCTACGTTATAATATTCGTTATTTAATGTAATATTAACCGGTTTTAATTATTACGAGTCTGAAACGAGTAGATAGTTGAATGCGCCAAAATAAAGATATGGAAGTTGTCTTGCGAGCTTCTGGCGACTCATCTCAACGACCATTCTCTCTGAATTTACGATTATTTTGGCAACTATATACCACTTCGGTTGTCAGAACCAATGTTCCACATCTCGTTTTGACCTAATTTGATTAAGTTGAAGTTTCTGGCCGAATTTACACTCGTGTCGTGTTACTTATTTAGGCGGAGTAATTTTGTTGGCGAAACTATGTCGAATTTCGTCGATTGTAACAACGGCAATCTCTGTTTCTAACCGTATGAAAAATTGCGCATGTCGTGTTTTTAAAACGTGTCAACCGCGAGAGACGAGATTTTTTAACGTTCGCGTTGACGCGATGGTATTTTTCTAAAAATGTCATCGTTGTTTGATACTTTATTTTTAACTTGTAGTTACTGCCTGTTACTGGGTCACGTCACCAGTCAAGATATTTTGATGTGGCGCACAATCTGCAGTTTTAATGCAGTTGTCTATTCATCTACAATCGATTCGCTCTCGCGACACTTATCATTCTTGAAAAAAAAAAGAAACTATAGAAATGCGTATAGCTCTGTTAACAAAATTTAAATAAAAAAAAGAAAGACAATGGAGAATAAACTTGATAAGTTTTAGAGTCGGGAAGGGTGCTCGACTCTCGGTAATTAATTAATTCTTCAAAAGACCGTTTTCGACTGAGAGATATCCGTAAATGAACAATTAATTAAACGTTCCAGCGCGCGCGTGGCGTGACGCAAGATTAATCCGTGTAATCGCGAGTCTGATAGCCGTTGTCGTTGAAGCCGAGCGTTATCCTTCCCGCCCCGATCCGTCGTCTCTCTCTCTCTCTCTCTCTCTTTCTCTTTCTCTCCATTGGCCAGAAAGCTCAATCAATAATCACCGGCCTCTTCCTCTGCTTGCAGGTTGCCCAGGAAGCGAGCGGTTCTACTGGCGATTTGTCTTTTGGTTACCTGCACCGGTAAGTCTGTCTGCCACTTGTACTCGTAGGTAATACTCGTCCTCATTGAATTTATTCAACGGAGCACACGTCGCGCTCCCGCTAAGGATCATGTTTCGTGACGTTTCGTTTCATCCCACGAAGCACGTGCACGACGCTCTATAACCGCCGGATGACGACGCTCTCGTTGCTGAAGAGAATTTTATTTCACTTCTGTTAACTCATCTGTTATACGAGGAAGACTCCGAGAGCGCGCATCCTTCGTGCGATTTTCTACTTTTGTAGATTCGGAAAGTGAAATGCGCAAAATGCACCCGAAGTCATTGGATTAGATTCGGAAAGTTCGTAGCGATTTCCAACAGGCAGCATGTCTGAGACACAAAACAATCGCGCAGATACACTAAAAACATCGGACAGCGCCGCATATGAGCATTTATTGAAGTTAAAATGCGATAATTTAATTCGCAAAAAAACGCCACGTAATTTCTGAACAACTCAATAGAGCGAGATTTGCGCGCGAAGCTCGTTTCTTGGAAAACATTCAGAAAGTACTGCATTTTCATGCATTTGTATTAATAAATATACAACAATTTAAAAGATTATGAAAATGTACAACTAAATATTAAAGTCAATATAAACCGGATGTACATACATATATTTATTTGCTTTTTTTTAAATGTAAAATTTTCTTTTTCAAACGTGTAAATTAATACACACGTGGGAATTCGAATCAAATTTAATTTAAAAATTCGCACAGGATGCTTGCTTTGCATCACATATCTGTGAAATATTCAATTTACCTTTCCATGAAATATAAAATTTTCATTGCGAAAAACACACCTTGGTTAGCAGTCGAATTCGAATCTCCCGCATTTCCGTGCGGTTGCCTTTCCAATTCGGCTACCAAAGGTGGCCAAATTTTCCGCAATGTTTAAATATGACTTGAAATTAATACACACACACACACACACACACGCGCGCGCGGAAAGAAACATATGCTTTATATAAAATATATTTTCTGAAATTCTCTCGGTAGCGCACATTACGAGAAGACGGAAAACGTTTTCTGAAAATATTACGGCGAGTCGCATATGTGAAGTTGTTCATTCGAGCCGAGGGATGACTATTTAAATATCTCGTGAACGAGAACGAAGTAGCGCGGCGATACGAGGAGAAGGCACGAAGGGATGGCGGCTAGGTGCGAGAGTGTAGAAACGGAGGAAAGGCGTTTCCTCTTTCCGGCGGGGAACACAGGAAGCTTCTAGCGAACTGCCTCTCTATCTTCTCTGCCTTCGTCTCTTTCTCTCTCTCTCTTTGTCTTCCTCTCGTGTGTTTCCATCCGCTCTCATCCTTTTCTCTAAACCGTTCCGCTCGCAATCCAACTCCTCTCATCTCCGTATCTCGAGGAAGCCAAGAAATGGTTTCCCTCGGAGAAAACGCAAGGGTTCCTCTCCCCGTTTCTTCATCTTTCTCCAACACATTGTCCTTGCGTTTCTTACCGGTTACAAATATATATGTACGTATATATATATATATGTACACAATGGCGACTTAACGCTGATTGCAGGTAATGCAGCGCGAGAGAGCACCGCGCGCGTGCTCATTTCGCTGCGAAATTCGACGTTTCTATGGCTCGCCGTCATTTCCAGTTTATTTGCTAAATTTCAGGATATTACATTCCACTTTGTTGCGTTTTTTTTTTCGTTCTCGCGAGCTTCTCGCGGAGGTTTTTTTTTCATCGCTCTTCTTATTCATAAGCCGCGTTATATTTATTTTCCGTTACTTTTCACTATTCAGCGTGTTACACTTTGCACGCGTCGACTCTCGGCGCGCGCGCGCTCTCTCAAGAAACATTTGTGTTTCCACAATATCAAATGATTCTCCTTCTCTTTTGTTTTCAAAAAAATACGTATAATATAATTCACTCATTGTCAGTACGTTCGCGCGCGTTCATTTCTACGCTCATTCGCTCTTTCCGCGCGTATTCGGTTATTGTTAACTTCTCTTTGTTCTTCTCTCTTTCTTTCTTTCTTCATATGTTTCTCTTTTCAGCAAGCCACCTTTTTACCGCGGTCTTCTTTCTTCATAATTTTTCCTCTTCGCCAAACACGCGGGCGCGCGCTGCTTTTGCCCGCCGTAAATCTGATGCCGCGCACCTCCCTCGCGTACATCATGTTTCACTCTCGGCTACTTCATCCGCGGCCGCCGCGCTTGGAGTATTTATTATTCGCACGTTCCGCGCCTGCATTTTTTAAGATGTTGGTTTTGCTTCCTTATTAACCGCTTCCGTTTGCGAGCGCGCAAGTTCATCAGTGGCGGAGTTTCCTTCGCTTGAGCGAGGATTTTCGCCCTGATAATTTATGCCAAATGTGTTTGCACACATAGAAATCGGCCGAGATCGCTAATGTAAAATTTACGACAAACTTTTAGTTTTTTGACATATATAGAAAACAAACGCGCGCGTGTATTTTTTTAATTAACTTTTCGCGGATAGATATGGGTCTCTCAGATCCACTCGAAAATTGTGCATTGGTGTCTCTAGTAAAAATTAGTTTTTTTTTTTTTTTTTAACGCGTGTATCATCGAAACTGCAAAATTGAGAAAATATTGATTTTTCGCGGAGATATTCGATTTTAAAGTCGCGCGAGTCTCACAGATCCAACTTGTAAGTTGTTTTTGAAGTCGGTCCGCAAAAGATTGACAATCAAAACGGTATGTTTTTCTTGTCGTTCTTTCTTCTTTTTCTCTCGTCGGAGAAAAAAGAGAGTAAGAAACTTTCTAATTGGTCTGGTGAAATTCTCTCGTATAACCCTCTTCACCGGAGTTCTCTTTCCGCATCGCCGCTCAAGAAGATCATTGACTGCCGAAGTGAGAGTAGCACGTACTTCGAAATTCGACGGTTTCGTCGAAGGGGCGGTTGCACGATTGATCACTCGGGGCGGGTAACGTTTGAGCAGTTACAAATACACGTGATCAATTGTGTCCTAATGGCGCGGCCCGAGTACATCGCGTGCGAGCCAACTCTCCGCGCCGGGGCAGACAGCACCGTGGTGGACGATGGTTGTAACTGCACCGGCGAACCTCATGCGCTGAAAGTATTTGCCCGAGTGCATTAATCATTCAGCGCGCCCGTTCGATGCCCTTCGGATCGAATTCGATCGTTCGCGCGCGATATCCCCTTCCCGATCATATCTCTCTCTCTCTCTCTCTTTCTCTCTCTTTGATGTCCATTTCGAAAACTGTATATCGCAATATATCGCGTTCCTGTATAACTTCAGTACAACAAATAGAATTAATTTTCAGATTTTTTTCCCTCTCTAATACTTGCGAGAAAGCAGATTAATGCAGCGATGATAAATGTAGGATTTACGTATTATCTAGTTCGGTCAGGTTATAAAATTTACAACGCGATAAATTACTGGCGACTGACTGGCAAAACCAAAAAAAAATCAAAGTAAATTGCAACGCGAGATTTCGCGCGGCACTATTTCGGCTTAAATATTGATGAGTGGCGTGCAGAGAGAGATATATATAGATAGATAAATAGAGAGAGAGAGAGAGAGAGAGAGAGAGAGATCGAGTGAAAAAAGTGTTGCGACAACGTGCGATATTATTCTATTGTCTCGGTTTGCTTAGGGTCAAAAACAAATCCGAGGGCAAAGCTGAGAGAAAACCCTATTCGGATTAAAGGAAACGTGAGAGTGCGTTGAAAAAAAACAAAAAAAAAACAAAAAAAAAAAATGTGATGTCGTTTGAGAGAGGATTTCGGATCGTTGACAACAACGACGACGGGTGCATTCAACCGAGGGTACGTTTGTGCATTCAAACACGGCAACACGCTCGCTAGTTACGTGGCTTTACTCGTTAGCGCGCGCTCTCGCCAAAGAAAGAATTTCTCTCTCTCGTTCTCTCTTCTCTCAGCCGCCACATCTTTGTCGGTTGTCGTCTGTTATTTCCGAGCGCACCCCGGGACTCATTCATGAATCCTCTCCGTTAAATACGGTTCCGACGAGGCGGAGCAACGAGTTTCCGATAACGCCGGATGCGGCAGAGCGTATTACCGGATAATGCGTCCCCACGTTCAATAATATGCGGCATTTCGCCTCTTCTCGATCGTGTCCGATTCGTCGTCGTCGCATCACAGTATCTCGCATTTTTTTTCTTCCCCCAGTCTATCCGTTTCCCGTTCCAGTCTTCTTTCTACTTCGTCGTAACACACATCGCCGCGTCGCCATTAATTGTATCCGCAACTACAATAACATCGTTCTCGTTTTCTTTGGACGATCGAAATCATTCATCGAGTATTGTTTGCAGAATATCGCGCAATGATGCAGAATTTATATGTAACGTATTTGTAACGTATTATACAATGTTATTTCTTTTTTATTTTTCTATTTATTCAATGAAAATACGTCTCAAGAAATCAAAATCAAAAATCATCATCTGGAGATTGTGGCTCTTGTCTAAACTCTGATCGATGAAAATCAGAAGGTTAACCAAACTTAGTGTTAGAAATGTTTTGGTCATTTATTCCGATCGTTTCCAGCCAATCTAAGCAACAAAAAACCGAGAAATACAACTTGTTCATGTTTTTGTTTTACAACAAACAGTAGAAAAAAATATTCTGCAAAAAAAACAAAAATTAATCTTAAAACACACCTTTTTTAACTATTTCTCGTTAAAAAAACATTTTTTAAAATTGTATTTTTCGATTTATTGTTGCTTAGATTGGCTGAAGATAACAAATGATCGAAACGTTCTTAAATGAATTTGTTTATTGCAATTTTGACTTAACCACGTTCAGCGGGTGGACTTGCAGATTTATTTTGAATCTTGACTTTTCTATTTATTTCCCAATCTTGCGACAGTTGCTTTTCGCATATCGTAAAAGGCGAATACGGAAACACGAGTGCTTCTTGTCTCCGAGCAGCTGGAAATTGTCAGTAGTTCAGGTCCGCCGTATAGTCCGCCTGGCAGTGAACGACCGGCGAGGCAAACGACGTATATTTCAATATATGGGC